CGCTGCTTGTACGGATGTCCGCCAGCGTCAGGCCGCGGCCCGACGGCGTCGTCACTCCCAGCGCCGGGCACGCCACAGTGCGGTTGCACCCGTCCACACTGCTTTTGCACCTGTCCACACTACGGCTGTATCCGCCCACGCGGGGCAGGTCCAGCGGCAGGCAGTGCTCGCCGTGCCCTCCACCGGCGCACTCACACTTGCAGTCGCTGAACGCCGTCGTCAGCGCATCGAAGCAGTCGCCGTCCCTCGTGCACTCCCCGCACGCCGCAACATTCGTCACGTTGTTGATGCCATTGCGCTCCATCTCAGCCGCCGTCAACACCTTTCCCGCAACCGTCAGGCACCCAGCGACGAACTTGTAGCCGGCTTCGACGCCCTTCAGCAGGGCCTGCCCCAGACCCGTGGAGCCCATCTTGCAGCCCATCAACGTCACTGCACTGCTGCTGTCAAGCTCCACGGCGTGTTTAGACGAGGTGTGGAGCATCTCAGAGGCCCCAACGTCGTTGTCACGTATCTCCATCCAGCTCGACCGGCGCGCGGTCCACACACCAAGGAAGTAAACACCGTACCTCACCGAACCACGGTTCCCCACCATGCGAAGGACGCTAAAGTTCTCCAGCACGACGTCATTGCTGTCCACGATGGAAGTTCCTGAGAGTACCACGTTGTTGTGTAGCGCCAAGACGGAGCGGCTGGCCACTTTAGTCTTGCCTTTCAGCTCCAGAATGGCATTAGCCCCTGCAAGGGTGCAGTGCTGCACATACACCGCGCTTTCCTTCAGCAGTGTCAACGACCCCATCACGGACATGCACGAGCCACTAAGGATAGAGATCCCCAACTGCCGCGGTCGCCGGATGTTGACGTCGCTCAGCAGCAGCGAAGACGCGCCGGTGAGCAGAACGCCCTTCAACGCCACGACAGCAAACCTGTTGGAGAATCCGTCGGGTGTAGCAATTATGGAAAGCTGCACCGCGTCAACCTCCGTGACGGCGATGTCGCAACGCTGCGGCAGTGCACCTGAAAAGGCTACGACGGAGGACCTCATCACCGTCTGGCTCACGCGGATCAGCACGCCGGCGGATTCAGCCGCCTCGCCACCCCCGACAAACAGCAGCGCGGCCCCGTCCAGGAATGTGCACCCAGAGAAGGTGATGTTGATGGGGAGATGCAGCGGCATATGAGGGAAGAAAAACTTCACTACTGCACCCTTGCCGATAAACGTCACACCCACGTAGCAGTGGTGCGTCTTCCACATGCTCAGTGGGACGTTTGTCAGCGTCTGGCCCACCACGCAGCTCGTGTTCCTGTCCATCGGCAGCTCCAGCTGTGGCACCGTGGCGCTTCCCGCCGTATCCGTCCCAGGCATACGGCACGCTGCGTCGCCGCCCTTGCAGGCATCGCAACTCACTGGGGAAGCATTTTTAAAGGAACCCGCGTACTTCACCTCCGTGTCACCCTTCTTGTTGCACCCTGCCTGCAACGCTGCGGGTGGTGCCACGTTCGCCACAACATGCAGCGACGCGTCGGTAAGACCCTCCAAGACGTTGTGCGAGAAAACAGCAACACTACCGCCGTCGGAGAGGATGAGCGCTTCCTCGGAGCTTCGGTATACGTAGTAGAGCGCAGCATCCCTCACCTTGTTGCGCTCCACCCGCAGCTTCGCCCCGCCAGAGATCTCCAGACTTTCGCCCTGGAAGAGAAGCGCCGTGGCAGTGGCACCCGCTGGGCCCTGCATGGTGTTCTGCACCATCTCGAAAAGGGCCGCCGAGTTCAGGCTGCCGGGGTATCCCAGCGCCACCCCTCTCCCGGCGACCAGCCGCGATTCCGTGACGCTGAAGCGGCCGCCAGACACGATGCGAAAGTTCTTGAAGACAATCGCGGAACTCCCATAAAAGTCCGGCACCGTCGTTTCCAACCGGCACCCTTGCACGACAAACGCACTCGCGTCCAGCAGGAAGTCGTCCTCGACAACGATGGCGTCAGACGACGCAATAACGGTGGAGCGAAGAAGGAGCACCGACGAGTTCGCACCAAACTCTGCCGCAAGGCTGACGCCCAAGGCGCCCATCGTGTTCACCTCGCTGTCCACCACCTGTATCCGGGACCCCGGCGCGAACGCGCCGTCAAACCCCACACTGCCGTCGCTCACCGTGGAGGCCGTCACGCTCATGTGCACAGGGTATTCACTGTTCCCCGTCAACCGCAACCCCGACAGCTTGCACCGCAGCAGCGTGATGTTGATCGCCTGTGTCGCCGGCATGAACTCACCCAGGTCAATGACGAGCGGGGAGGTGAAGTGCACATCCACAAAGCACATCCCAGACAAACCCAGCGTGGAGGCTGCCGGCGCACTCACCATGCCACCATGCACGCACGGCATCTCCGCGGGGAGCACAGCAAGCGGCGGTCGCGGCCCAACTACCTCCGGGACCTCCGCCGGCAGACACGCGTCACCGTGGCCTCCGGTGGCGCATTTGCATCCGCACACATTTCCTGTATTCTCCATCGTTTTAGCTGCAAAGCACTCCGTGAGTCTCAAGCAGTTATCACACCCGTAGTCGGTCATTTTCATCTGCATGGCGATCTTACGGTAGTTCGTCAAAAGCGTCCCTGTTAAATAGTTGCACGCGACGTACACAGTCGGCTTCACCGCTGAATGGGAAGTAGAGTAGTAGTCCCACATGCTTGCCCCGCCGGGGTTGCCTGGAGCACGCAGGAATTTGTTGCGGAACACCGACCAGGTGTTTCCAGGCCCCATGTTCACACTCGTTACGACAAACACCACCGTGACGCGGAAGTCGTTGTCGCGGTGCACCAACCAGCCACCTCGCGTCATGGTCAGTACCTTTGTGCGCAGTACGGAGGCGCTCGGGCCAAGCTTGTTCCCCGCGATCTGCAGGACGCTCCCTCCTGTGATCGTGACAGCGTCACACGACCACGCATCGTCGAGCTTGTCGGACCGCTTCACCCGCCACGAACTGTTCTGGATTGCAAAGACGGAGCCCCCAGCCACGGTCAGTTGGGATGCAAGGAAGCCCAGCACACGGTGGTGGGCATTCACGGCGCAGTTGTCCATGTAGAAGGAACTTGCCTTGTCCAGCATGAGGTCGCGCTCCACGAGGACCACGGCACACGTATCGCCCCCACACATCAGCGTTGTCCGAGTCAGAACGAGCTGCGACGACAGCAGCCGGACGCCGTCGAGCACAAGGACGGGGCCGTATCTGGACTCCTCGTACCCGGCGGTCGTCGGCACATACTGCGACCCACCAACCGTCGCGTGCAGCGACGAGTCCGCCAGCAGAACCCGCGACTTTGGCGGCAGCGTACCCTGCAGCACTATCGTGCCCTCCGTCAACGTCACGTTCGTCATGTTGACGACGGCGCGGGGCATCAGGTGCACCCTACCCTCGTCTAAGCCCACAATCCGCAGCTGCGCGCCGCCGGCAAGTACGCAGTGGCGCAGCGTCACGTTCAGCAGGCCAGCGAATGGGTCCATCGGGCCCAGCTCCACCGTCACGGTGATCGGCCCGCTGAACACCACTGAGTCGAAGCACACCGTCGCCTGGCCACCCCCAACCGCCATGGACTCCGTCAGCGTCACGCCACGCACACAGCCCTGCGCGCTACTGCCACTACCACCACCGCTGCCGCCGCCCTTCGCGAGCGGCACATCGAACGGCAGGCACGCCGCCCCCAAGCCGCCGGCGCTGCAGTTGCACGCGCAGTTGGAGAAAGAAGCCGTCAGCGCACCGAAGCAGGCCAACGCCAGCGCGCAGCTGTCGCACGGCACCACGTTCACTGAGAGCAGACCCGCC